CTGGTTTCCTGGAATCCTCCCACAAGAATCCCCAAGTGAGCATTAGACACCTACAGTACTTCCCCTACCACCTCCCTCCTAACACCCTTTCACCCTAAACAAAGGGGACCTGGCTGCAAGAAAGTGGATCTGTCCAGTGCCCAACTGTACGTGGGCCACACCTTGCAACTCATTTTATCAATTTTCAGGATATTTTGTCTGATAAAGATTTTAGGTTATATTCAACTTTAAAGTTCTATTAATGTAAGTTTAATACATGACTACTAGATATGATGAGTATCGTAGACATAGCGTAATACAGTAGATGGTTCTAAATTTATGATTAAAAGGCAAGGAAAGAAACAACTTATGGGACTGTGTAACACTATGAAACATTGATTAACTGCTTATTGAAAAATTGATTAATCATTTATTTACCTTTTGTAAAATTTTGATAAATATCTTTTTTTAGTAGAAAGTGGGAGCAAGCTTTCAGTTATCCGATTATGCAGACTTAAATAGACGCTACACATTTTCAGATTCCATCTACTGATATTGTAACAGGGAACCCTAGCCCTGTTACTAAGAGACAGGGTGGTCCCTTTAAATCTAGAACCTTCCAGTCACAGCGGGCCAGTCGGCGAGCGAGCAATGGAGGGGTAAAGCCAAAACCCCTGCCAGCCGATCAGGTGACAGGAAGAGGAAGGCCAGGATCTTACAAATGGTGAGTGGAGAAGGCCAGAGGGACAGCTGGGAGGGGGACTCCCAATGACTGTGGTGCTGCAGCTGCAGTCTCTGCTGGAAGAACATGCTACTTTGTGAGCCAGAAGCATGACCATCTAAAGTAAGCAGGCATGTTGCCTATCTTATTTCTTTATTATCCTTTTTCCATGCTATGGCCATAGAAGCCTGTTTTGCGTTGGATGTTCATACCCGGAGGATCGGGATGAGGCTATTTGGGGAGGAGGCGGCCTCATTCAGGGACCCACTTCAGTGTGGGGACCGCAGTGCCAGAGAGGGTGCAGTATTTGGGGGTGAGTGGACCCCAGCGCCAGAGGGGGTGCAGTACGTGGGGGTGAACAGAACTCAGTGCCATAGAGGGCGCTGGAGCCCTAGTGAGTCTTTGAGAGCTATAGCCTTGGAGTCAAGCCCTGATTAGTGGGGTTTTGGCTGACAGGTCTAGCTAGAGAGGGAAGGGGTAAGTCCACAGTGGCCAAGACCTCAACACAGAGAGGAATTTATAAATACCATCTGCAAGGCTTGGGCTGCAGTGGAGGGAAGGAATGGAGCCGCAGGTAGTGCTCCCTGTCATCAGGGCAAGAAATGGGCAGCCTCCCGCTTAATTAACAACTAATAATTAATTAACATCAAGGCATGGCAGGTGAGAAGGCGGGCGGTTTGCCCAGAACAGGCGGGCGGGCCAAAAGCAAAATCGGCCCTGGGAAACACCGCCTGTTACAGATATAAAGTAGTATCATGCCTTCTCATTGGTCATGAAGATTTAGATAGTTGCAATGGATTGATTGCTTATTGCAAGAGAAAATGAATGGGTGCAAATTCTCATATTATAATCTAACATGCCTGGAATAGGTGTTTTTTTTTTTGAATAGGCAGAAAACAAAAGCAGAACATAGTTTAATACTAGTGGGCTCACAAATGCAGTCAGAAGTTTAGAAGCCTATAGAAAGCAACTGGGTTTCACCACTGTAGTCAGATCCTGTGTATGCAGCTCCACAGAAGTGTTTTATGCCAAATAAAGTTCTTTGATATGACCAGGTGCTAAAGGTTGAACTCAACATCACCATCAGTCAAAGGCCACAAAACTTCATCATAATCACAACTGACCTGGTGCCAGTATTCTGGGTCTAGTCATTTTTTTTCTTTAAATAAAAGTAACCATTTTCATTTCAGAGTTCAAAGAATCCTTTTGCATGATGCCTCTGAGTTTTTTATTCTTCACTTACCTACCTTTGAATGCTTGCCCTTTAACCCAGCCACTTTGATGGCTCTGGAGTTGTTGTTTTTTTTCAAACTGCTTTCATGCAGAAAGTGTCCTTTGACATCCAAAGAAATTAATTAGTTCCATTTTTACCACCTGACTACAGATATCAGATACTAGATCATAACAATATGCTCTTGCTTAACAACATTACAACTAACTTGCAGGTGCGGTTACAACTAAACCTCAGTAGTGGGGTACTTGGGGGTATAAACATTATTCCAATACCAAAATTAATTCATATCAGCAGCGGTTTTGTCCAACCGGTTAGACAAGGAGATATTTCACCCAACTGTAGAAATATTAGGGTGCTTTTTCCCCAAATGAATTAATTTGTAGTTCACTTTCTATGCAGATAATCCCGACCACCCAAAGGGAACTGGAAAGAACCAAACAGTTTCACTATCTGATCTGCTTTAATTTTATGAATTCAGTACAAAAGAATGAAAGCAGCTTCATAGTAGGTAGCAGCAACCTGGTCAATGTGAACTAGGAAGTATTCACCTGGTGGAGTGAACTAGAAGGAACGGATTTCCAACTTTCTTCCTTTCAGGTAAGTCGGCAAAATAGGCAGCTCAGACTCTTTCTGGGGTTTCACAGGAGATTTCCCAGGGGAAGGTGAATCAAACTAACCTGTGTTCCTACCATGTTGCCTCTTTGACCAGAACCACCACTATTGAACTTTCCCTCCTGCCCCAACTTATCCCCACTACTTATCTTCTTCAAAACCTTTGGCCACAGAGCTGCTAAGCCAACTGCTGCAACACAGTCACAACTCCTCACATGCCACACCATTCACAGAAATAAGCATGGCTGATTTGGTGGCGAACTGAAAGAGGCACTTTTCATTTGCCTGAATACTTCTCTGTCAAATTTACCACTTCAAATGCAATGAATTATGCTGCCTAGTTGCCAGAATAAGAGCCAGCCTTATTTACCAAAAGCAAGAGCACATCATATCTAGCCCAAGCACAACTGACAACAACCAGGAACAGAGAAAAAGAAGTCAGAGAACAGAATGAGAACAGAGGTTACCAGTCATCCATCCATGTGATGAGTACAAGTGAAATCATTCAAAACAGCCACTGGAATTCAGAGAATCAGAGAAAAAAAGATAGGACAGCAGGATTGACTGTGGTTGTCCTACTCATGGGTTAAATTGTGAGTTAGTAAGGAGCTGTCTCATTTTACAGGAAACAATCCACTGTTCTCTGTCCCAAACACTGGAAGAGAGAGGTTGTAGGCCTACCTCTACACTCTGTGGGGTTTGGTAAAATGCAAAGGCCTTTGCAACCAACTCAATTTACTGGACAGGTGTAAGCAGGGCCAGGTCCCTGAGTAAGAAAGGGAGTGTACTCACTCTCTAAAAGCAAGGACTGCAGCTGCTGAAAAGGGCAAGGAAGCCCCTTGCAACCAGGACCTCACAGGAGCGTATTTTGGCTATTCAGAGGTCTCTGCAATGTTGCTGCTCAAGTTTATAAGTAGAGGTTTAGTATCACTGTCTTTATATTAGGCTACATCTTAAAAAATTCCTGAGCATTTCCTTTGTGGTGTTCAGAACCTACAACTTCCACTGAAGTCACAAGTTAATCCACTGGTTAATAAAGAAACCAAAGGTCAGCCTACTTGGTATAATGTGACTTTTCAATGATCTCCCCAGAAAGCAAGCCAATGAAAGATAGTCTTCTACAGTTTTGTCTAAACTTTTCATTTCTCTTTGGTCTGTATATAACTAAGACCTCCATGTTAGAGAAAGACAAAGCAACTTACATTTAGAAAATTGCTGTCCAGTTTCTCTGAATATCTATATAAAAGTTATTCCTTATTTACCTATTATATGCCATGAATGCTTTTGCTTTATATATTGTTGTTACAGGAAAAAACTTCCCAAGTTTATAAACAAATGCAAAATAGAAATATTCCACCTTTTAAAGCCTTAATAACAATGGATGTGTTTACACGTGCCCCTACGGCGCCATTGTTACTGTGCCATCATTTAGTACTTGCTTTTGGAAATACTAAATAATGGTTCAGTAACAGCCTGTAGGGCCCCATGCTAGTGGCACACAGTTATTTTTAGCTGCTATGTCACCGTAGCAATGCACTATAGCAAGGGAGCAACAGCATCACATTTGTGCCCATCGGCATGACGTCACTGTAGTGCATTGCTATGGCAACATAGCATCTCATGTAGACAAGCCCAATAACTATCATGTATACAGCCCTTTTTTAGGTGATTTTGTTTTAATATTAAAAAACTAATACATTATAGATGATGATTTATTTCTGCCTCAATTAATCTAATAATAATCTTATTGTTTAAAAATGCATATTTTATCAACAGAATAAACAAATTGAATTATTCTTTATTAACATTTTCATACTGAGTCCTTCATAGGCAAATACTTGAGTGCATGCGAGTGACAGAGAAGGGCTACAACACAAAGGCACAATTTATTTCTTAAAAATTAAGCCAGGTTATCACTTTGCTGTTAATTGATGGACACTGTAATTATACATAATACAATGAAATAAAAGAAACATGAACGTTCCAATTGACCAAATACTCTGGAAAAGTTTTGAAATGACCTTTTTATTGGTCCTTCCATTTCAATACAAGAGCTTCTCAATTATCTTGTAGCTGAATCTGATATATTTAACAACTATTTAGCCAACAGTGGGCCACAAAGCAATGCTAAATTCTCCATCTTGCACACACAAATAGAATACAGAAGTTTATAGTCTATTATTTTGACGTAAGTCAGAAAATAAAGCCAGAACAGACTTTTCCCTTTAAACCAAAGTAGACTGAAATCCCACTGTGGAATATATTCCACTCAACCTTCCTCAAAATTATTTAGCCATTAGTTGGATATAATCAAAGCTATGGGTTCATCTTCTGGTAGGAGAAAAAGGGGTCAAAACTCTTTGTAGGATCAAACCGTTCATGCATTTTGAAAACTATAGACAAAAAAATATGCTCCCTGATCATTTTAAATTTATAATCAATAAATCAACTCACCTGCAAGTGCTGAGAGTTGTCTGTCATATTGTCCTCTCGCCTACGGACTTCTTCCAGTAACTGCGCGTTCTTCTTCTTTTCCAGTTGTTGATTGTGCTTCAGGTTGGCCACTTTCTTGTTTTGATCCTTCATATGTCTAAGAATCGTATGCATATCTCTGTTAATTCTACTGGCTACAATATCTGGCAACAAAGTCAACTTGTGAATATGAGATAGATAAATGATATATTACCAGATACAAATATCTCATATCAGATTTAAAAAGTGACACTTAATCATATTCTTAAAATCACATATCAAAATGGTTTAGGTGAAATGAAATGTAAAATAAAACAAATGTTCCAGGCTATTGATTGGTTTCATCATTGATATGTGCTCACAATATATTCCAAACACCCTTCAAGATGGAAAAATACAGTCTTGTGGTAAGGCTAGCTCTCAACATAGTAATAATATATTTTAAAATATGTGTTATGGATTTAGGCTTACTCTGAGACTGACTGCTTCATAAAGTGTTGTTCTGATGGCCAATAAACTATTTATACATTCTTTATACTGGCATTGATTTCATGGGTTAGGTCTGTCATAACATTAATGGTTAAGACACAGGGAAATAACAGGTAAAGGGTTCTGAATGTTCTGGTTCTGCTTGCTGTTTGCTTAACTGTGTTGTGTGTTCTTTTTCTTTTTTTTCTTTTTTTAAGTTCATGCAATGCTTTTATTATTTAAAACACAGGGGCTTCTTGAAGTATAAATATGCTATTGCCAATTAAAGGATGCCTATAAAATATCTTCCCAGTGAAAAATATTTCTTTCTTTCCTTTTCTCTTACTTTGATTTCTACAAAAGAATTAAGTAAACACAATAATTCCCAGATACTTTTAATGAAATTGGAATGATTTTAACATAATTACACTTTTTACTTGAATACTGTGTTCAACTTACACTAATTGTTTCAAAACTTCCTCATCCTTTACTACAAATGCTATTTACAATATTCCCAGGTCTTCTGTTTCTTGCATGTTGAACATACACTTCGATGCAGTGGAGCAAAATTTTCTTGTCACATACTCAACATAGTCAACCACTGTCATTTCAAACTCTAAAAACTGTTTTCTACTTTCTACCTACTTGGATTCTTAGATATTATTTTCTTTGACTTTCTTTTGATTCTAAGGAATTTGCTCCCTTTTATCTATATAATAATAAAGTCATGTGCAAATTCCTAATGAGATCTACACACTAATCCTTTTTTGGCAGATGAACAGGATATTTTCCAGTGCCCATAAGGATCACTGGAAAATTCCCAGTTGCTTTTGCAGAAGGCTTAATCATAATAATAACAACAATAATAATACTAAAATATAAAGTTATACACTATATTTGCTATATAAACAATAGTATGCTGTGGCAATTTGGTCATTAAAACTACTCCTTTCTTCCCATTATGGGCGCATCCAGACAAGAGCACACATGCCTCTTGCAGTGTCTCAAACCCATTTGAGATGCTGAAAGAGGCACATCTGGGAACAAAAAAGTTCCCCATGCTGCAAATTTGCAGTGTGGGGGCAAAATTAGGCCCCTGGATATGCAGGGGTCAAAAAAAAAATGCACTGCAAAACAGTGGGGCAAGGCACAGTCCCAGACCATGCCCTGAGGCAACTGGAGGCTTGGGTCCTCCACAGAGACACCGGTAGACAGCCAGAGCATCTCAATGGCTGGCCCCTGCTCCAGGCCTGTGCAGGCCAAGCAGCAGTGCAGGCTGCAGCGACTGACCTGGGTTCTATGCCAGGTAAGTAGGGAGTGGAGGAGGCTGGAAAAGGGAGGAGGGGACCATGTGGGGATCCCTGCTCAGTCCCAGCCCATGTTCACTCCCCCACCCATCCTCATCCCCTGCTCACTCTCTCAGACCCCTGATCGCTGTTCCACCTGCTCCCAGCTCCCCGCTGGCTGCCCTGCCTCACCCCAGCCTCCTGCCACTCAAAAAGAAAAAAAAAAATGGTACAGGTGTAGTGCAGCTCCCCACAGTGTCTGGGAGCTGGGGCCACTCGGGCTGAGTGGTACCAGGCTCTGGGTGATAGATGGAGCCACCCCAGCTTCCAGACACTGTGTAGCGCTCTGCTAAGCCACGCTGCACTTGCGCAATGGGGCAGTGGAAGTGCAGGTGCCAGGCAACTGGGGCCGGTCCCCACTGCCCCACCCACCCCGTGCAGCATGAGAGGGCTCTGCCATGACTCCCCAGTTGCCCCAACAGCTGCTGTTACAGCCGGTGAGTGCAGGGCTTTTTTTCTTCTTCTTGTTTTTTGAGTGCCGGGAGGCTGGGGCCAGGTAGGGTAGTGATGGCTGGGGGTAGAGACAAGCCCCTGGAGAAGGGGGATGGAGACGAGCCCCTGGAAATATTCCCCTGCTCATCTCCAGCCCCGTGCTTAGTCTCCTGCTCATCTCCACCCTCAGGAGGCTAGAGATGAGCAGGAGCTCAACAGGGGGCTGAAAAGAGCAGGAGAATGAGCAGGAGGCTGGAGACGAGCAGGGGAATGGCTCTAGCTCATCTCCAGCCTCCTGGTTGTTCCCCTGCTCCTCTCCAGCCTCCTGCTCATTCCCCTACTTGTCTCCAACCTCCAGAGGCTGGAGATGAGCAGGAGAATGAGCGGGTGGCTGGAGATGGGGGTGGGGGGCAGGAC